CCTTTCTGAAAAGGAGCAATTAATTTAAAGTGGAGGCTATTTTTTCAAATTCTCAAGATTTTGCACTTGACCATAACCAAATGCATTAAGTTTTGCAGGTTAAGTAAACCACCACAGACATACCCCATGAGTTATAATATACTGACTTATTTTTGTCTAATGGTTTTTACGAGAAACATTTCAAATATTTTGAGACAGTCTCGGATAATCATAGATGTTTAAATCCATCAGGTAGAAAGTTTCGCAAGACATGTCAAGGATATGACGCATCAAAACCTAAACAAAACTGAAAATTAATATTTTGTTACGCAAAGAAAAAATGTTTATTGACGTTCATGAATAGACAACCTCTAATTAATATCAGAAAAACTAACTCATGGTACTCAGCTTGATTGTATTCGCTCAAAGCAAAGATGCTGGTTGAGTGAAATAACTAACAGCTTATGCAAAGCTATATTGCACTTTTATGATACCATGCTCACCAGGACAATAGTCTACGATAGTGTCAGCTGCGTAAAACCCATGAACGAAATTAGGGATCCGTATTTACCAACATGATGCTTAAATTATTTAGGAAATAGCCCAAAGAAAATACGCGCCCTTATTGTTTAAAAATGGAATTTCTATTTAACAATCAGATTACGAGCTTCAGATTTCTATCGCGTAATAGTTGACGAGTGTGCTGCCCGAGTCAACTATCACGCATAATACAAATCGAGACCGAGTATTGTAATCCCTCGAAAATTGTCACTTCAGGCGTTAAACGTTTAGTCGTGTGAAACATTGCAGAGAAATTGCTCGACGTTAATTGAATTAGAACAATCAATATAACGAACCAATTTAAGGTTATTCAGTGTTTTCAGCTGCACAAATACAGCAGACTGGGATTGCCATAAAGACATAAGCAACACACACTGGTAAGTGAAATACTGAGTTTCCACCCTGTCATCTTTTTCCAGTAGTTGGATAAACTCAGATGTTCGGCAACGACATCAATTCGAAAATAGGATTAAGATCAATGTCAAATAATTCAGTTGTCCAGGTTTTCCTGTTGGCTCAACTGAAGAATTTTTCTCCCTGTAAAACATTGTAAAAGAGGCATCACGTTGAAAATATATAGTCACGATAAGGGCACCATCATCAGAATGGTCCCTTCGCTAGGTCGTTGTGTGGTCTCCGGTGGCCCTGAACACTGCACGATAACGGATAAGAGACTGCCATAAGGCCTTAACAATTATAAGAAGCTTCTCGAAGTCGGTGTCCACTCTTTCCGTCCCCTTCAAACGCAACAGTAGAGTGGTTGATGCTAAAGTGAAATCTCTTGTGTTGTTATTAGTTATATGTGACAATTAGAAGCTGATGATATAACTGACTCACAAACATTCTCTGTTGTGAACTGGTTAAGTGCCTCGGCGAGCACAGACCGTGGTAGCTTTACTGTTGCACAACCGTGAGACGAGTCTGATCGAAAACATTCAAAAACGAAAGCGAGTTACTTGGAAATTTGGGCTGAAGTTCATCTTTGCTCTATTTCTCATCTCGAAACAATTGCACGTAACACTCGTTTCTTTCTTTCAGCTGTTTTGAACAGAACGTATTGGCAGTTAACAAGAAAAGGCTGGAACAATGAGTTTCGTCCTCTTTTTTTGTGTTGTGGGATGTGTGATACCACACTTGGTGTTTTCCGCCGACCATCCGGTAAGTTCTCAAACTCATCCACTTTCTTTCGCTTGGCAAAACCAAGTGCATTCAGAAAACTCGCCACGCGTTAGATTTTTAAAAGACGTAAATACACCTTGCTTGGTGGTTTGACAGATGACATGAACACAGATCTTGCAAGTTGGAAAAGCGAACAACGAGTCAAACTATCCAGAAAGAGATAGATTTTGCCTGTTTCATTTTCCTTACAATTTCCCACAAAATTTACCGACGAGAAAATGTGTGGTGTTAGTTTAACACTCGCTTACAAGATTCCTCTCGATTATGGGATTGGGGCTCTAAATTTAAAATCGTTTTTGGCACGCCAGCTTTAAGACAATGTGACATTAATTTCGGGAAGGAACGAGAAGGCAACAGAATGAATGTATGGAAAATGCACAGGAAAGAAAAATAATGTTTTAGTGATTGCGTTTTTATCTTAACTTTGAAGAGCAAGTCGACTTGTCCGGCCAGTGGCGTCCCAGGTGTCCCTGGAGTGCCCGGGCTACACGGACATGATGGGGCCAAGGGTGACCAAGGAGCTGTGGGAGCACCCGGTAAAATGGGACCTGAAGGACCCGAAGGAAGCCAGGGGCCTGTGGGACCACCTGGAGAAATGGGGCCTAAAGGAACCAAGGGCGACAAGGGCGAACAGGGCCCCTCGGCTGTGGTCCCTCAGAGGAACTGGAAACAGTGCGTCTGGAGCAAACTGAACGATGGCAGGGATTACGGTTTGATAAAGGTCAGTAATTCTATATTTACTGAAGACAGTATGACTTCTTAGATGGAAGGTACACGTTATAGGTGGGTTATGTACTTTAAATTGTTTGAATATGCGGGGTTAAGCAATTATTTCGTGTTTGCGGCTAAGCAACAGTTTGTTTTGTTTGTGTTGTTTTATTCTCATTTAGAGGAATTGTCATTGTATTTGTGAGTATTATTCAGCCTCGTAACCTCGTTCCCAGGGCTTGGAAAAAATCCTGAAAACGAGGTTGCGAGGTTGAGTGTTATACAAATTATTATTTTTAATTATTTATTTATTTTTTAAAGTTGCTGCCTGTATCTCGGCTGGTGCGTCTTGTAAGATGCACCAAACATAGAGCCAATTAAGTTTCAAGAGCAAGTTGAGCAGCTTGGTGATTAGAATTAGTATTAATTCATAAATTACAGTACGAGATTCAATGTTAAATCTTTCTAAATTTCCATCATTATCTGTCATTCTAGGATTGTGTCTTTGTGAAGAAAAACCAAGACACGGCATTGAAGGTGGAGTATGATGGAGATTTCCGGATTTGTTGTTGCCTGAACTGCTGCAAGCGTTGGTATTTCACCTTCAATGGCGTGGAGTGTTCTAAACCAATCACTATCGAAGCGATCGATGTTCTTGCTACTAATCACGGCAAAACAGACACCAACGTACACAAGCACAGTCAGATAGGGGGATACTGTGAGGGGATTGGTAAAGGCACCGTACGCGTGGGATTGGCTGTCGGAGATTGCCCAGGTTTCAAAAGCGGTTCTGATGCGTATACTGGGTACAACTCAGTGGCTCGAATCATTATCGAGGAAGTCCCTAAGCCACAGTAGCTGAACAATACAGTGAGCTGTGAAAGAAAACGAAGCCTTTCATAGTTTAGTTTACTTGCGCTGTTTTGAAATGTAGTAGAAAAAGTTAAATTAGTGGGTAACTAAAAACCTTATAAAAGAGCGGTGATGGCATGCTTTGAAATGGCTTAATAAAGTGCATCGAAAAAGAACTTTTGATCGTCAGTTAATATTTGAAGAGTGTTTTAACAGTGTCACGCATTTAATCTCAAGCTCCTGAGCTGGTTTGTACAGTGACCTTCAGCCATCAGTGATCCGAACTAAGGTGATAGCGACCTCTACCAATTTTGCTACCCCACTTTTGATTTTTGGAACTGACTAAGACAACCGAAGAAATGGCCATGAAAGAAAATGTAATAAGCATAAAAAGGGGAAATACGTGAAACTCTGTCAGACTTGCTACTTCCATTCTAGAAATGGTGGTTTTTTCATGAATATAGTGCGTTTTGTTTGCTTTGGAGCCAAAATTAACCCTTGATATAAGAATAGAATCTTAATGTGATATTTTAACAAGGTTTCTTAGAAATATTAATGGCGTTTTCAATTCTTACCTTTATTGTCGAGTCACTTTAGGAACTGTGAGAAAACTTCACCAGCACAACAGTGCCACATCACCTTACAGGGAGCGTCATGTTATTTAGCAACTAGCCTTACTCTAATAAAGCTGTTCGATTCAACGCGCGGGTATGGCAGCCATTTTGATCCACTAATTTCGCGTGCGCGTGCCGCACTCGACATCGGGTAGAATGCCTGGACATTATTAATTATTCATGGCCGGCGAAGCGGCAAATTTGAATGTTTGCGTGTCGTGAAATGCCCTGATTAAGAGAAGAAAGGGTCCAAATTGGCCCAATAGCGTTGATAAAACTTACTGTTCTGGTTTCCAGGAGTTAANTCGGAGATTGCCCAGGTTTCAAAAGCGGTTCTGATGCGTATACTGGGTACAACTCAGTGGCTCGAATCATGATCGAGGAAGTCCCTAAGCCACAGTAGCTGAACAACACAGTGAGCTGTGAAGGAAAACGAAGCCTTTCATAGTTCAGTTTACTTGCGCTGTAAAAGAGCGGTAATGGCATGCTTTGAAATGGCTTAATAAAGTGCATCGAAAAAGAACTTTTGATCGTCAGTTAATATTTGAAGAGTGTTTTAACAGTGTCACGCATTTAATCTCAAGCTCTTGAGCTGGTACAGTGACCTTCAGCCATCAGTGATCCGAACTAAGGTGATAGCGACCTCTACCCATTTTGCTGCTCCAATTTTAATTTTTGGAACTGACTAAGACAACCGAAGGAATGGCCATGAAAGAAAATGCAATAAGCACAAAAAGGGAAAATATGTGAAACTCTGTCAGACTTGCTAATTCCATTCAAGAAATGGTGGCTTTTTCATGTACGTAGTGCGTTTTGTTTGCTTTGGAACCAAAATTAACCCTTGATATGAGAAGAGAATCTTAATGTGATATTTCAACAAAGTTTCTTAGAAATATTAATGGCGTTTTCAATTCTTACCTTTATTGTCGAGTCACTTTAGGAACTGCAAGAAAACTTCACCAGAACAAAAGTGCCACATCACCTTACACGGAGCGTCATGTTATTTAGCAACTAGCCTTACTCTAATAGAGCTGTTCGATTCAACGCGCGGGTATGGCAGCCATTTTGATCCACTAATCTCGCGTGCGCGTACCGCGGCATTCGCTCAAACTGGAGAGCGCCAGGAGAACTTCCTCTCTCATAGGTTGAAGAACTTTTGATCATAAAAATTAAGATAAATTATTTTCACCAAATCTACTTACCAACATTTAAGTCTCTGGTATCCGTTCTCGAAACAATTAAAGTGGAATAGGAAACCTGTGAAGTAAAAGGTCCAAACGTTTTACACTGGTTGACGAGCAAACTCAAGGTTGTGGGCAAAAGTGCCTTCTTTGTCGATTGTGCTAGTCTTTGCCGTGTAAACTTATGGGAGTTTGTTCGTGCTTAAGAAAATAGATCACGCGCTCTCGCAAACGCATACATTCATATTTAAAAGCAAGTCACAAAGAATAGGCAAGACCAAAGTCCTAAAGCGGACTCTCACTACTAGTAACTAAGCTAATGAACTTACAATGAATGAGATATGGTTAAAATATGGATAAAAATAAGGAGCCCTGGAGCTGAGAGGCCTTGTTAGGGGTTTTAGAGATCAGGGATAACTAGCAATATAATTTTAGGGAAAATGGAAATCTGGCAAAATAATTTCAAGTTCTTGGCTCGTACGATTTTTATCTCCCGTGATCGATTAGCAGTTGTGATAAGTCAGTTCAAGCGCTTTCTGCCTCGATGGTACCGTTGTTATCTTCCTTTTTATGCTCATCAATGTGGCCTCTGCAACAGTGCTGCTTGAAGTTTCAGCATACATTTATAAATACGAGGTAAGCACTCGATCAGAGTTCCTCATGGCTGGCTATATACGAAACCATTGTTTTCAACAATTAATTAGTTCCTCCCATGAAATTTGCACGTAAAATATTTGCTTGGTAAACTTGGGAAAAGAATAAGTATGGCTAGCCAAGCGAGGGAGGGCTTTATTATAAAATCAGTATAATAGCTAAATCATTTATTGTCTCTATCGTTCACGACGATACCTTATGGAATTGTTGTGGGCGTAAGAATGCTGATAAGATTAAGAAGTTACACAGACACACGGTTCGTATAATTATATGCAATCTGACAGCAGCCGGATGAAGCTCTAGAACATATCTTGGCTATAATACTCTAGTGCTAATATTATGGCTGACAAATTACTCCTTTATTTTGGCGCGAAATGT